AATTCTTTCATTCTCAATAGCATTGTAATGGAGTTAAATAAAGATGCAATCGATAGGATTATATATCTAATAAATCAAGTCCTATGGAAATAAATAGTACACAATTAAATAGCAACTTTTATTCATCTTAGTTGCTAGCTACTTTGAAGAATTATGGTCTGGACTGAGCAAAACTCCAAGCATGTGTCAAGCTTATGGTTCCCATTGACAGTGAAATCTAGCACACTGATGAATGTTTTTTTGACTGAAGTCACTAACCTCCCTGAATCTCAGTTTTCACCACACAAATAATAGTTCTTTATCCTAGAATACTGTGTTACAGATATACCACTTAATTTTGGAAAAAACATTCAGATAAAACAGTTCTGGAAGAAATAAATGCACATGCAAATAGCTCTTTCTGCCAGTAGCAATCACTGTTCCTTTACACTTCTCTCTATACTTAAATATTGGTGTTTTGCCTTCTATCTTTCATCACCTGTCTGCTCCAGTTCATAGGAGCTATTTCTCAAATATTCATGAAATATGAATTGGAAACTAGGGTCTCACTATATGTAGCTTTCACTAGTTTCAAAGGGAAGTGATCAGTCCTACTTATGGCTCAGGGTATCAGAAATAGCGTGTACTCTTTCTGTAGAGTAATAATCACATATATCTTGTCACTATAATTGGTGAAACTGAGTATGCTAATATTTTTCTTTTAACATAAACCAATGACAAGTTAGTACCTGGATTTCTTTCCCAAACATGTCCCAGTGCACATGCTCGTTTAATAGTTTTTCTAAACAGCAGGAAATACAGAATCTAAACCAATTAGATGATTTAAGAGAACCAGTGTCCCATTCAGAGGTGCTTAAGGGCCAAATGTACCTACAATATTGAAATAATTAGTAGCGTGAGATTGAAGATTTTGAAAACTACACTGTGAGCTGAGGATCATCTAGCTTCCTTCCAGCTGCGTAAAGGGTCAGGTCTGCTTTAAGATTGTCATCTTCATGATTTCAGTGTTAATGAGGAGACACTCATAAACATCGCCAGAGAGTGACATAATCCACTTACTCTAGTCTCTTCTTTTACAATGGATGTTTGTTGGAGGTGTTCGTTGGAGGTATTTTTTGCTCTTCACTGACTGCAAAGGAAATACAGACATCTAGTTAAGGTTAGATTAAATGGCAAGATTAAACTGCCCTTTCAAGAGCTAAAATTAGGACATGAATGCCACTTCTACACTCTTAAAAACAAACCCAGCTTTGAATGTCTTGTTTTTCTGAAAATGGAATTTCATTACTTTTGAAATTGTTATTCTCTTTATGCTTTTACAGTGTAAATGATGGAAAAGTATTAGACAGTGGTTATATCTTAATAAAAAGTGCTTAACAAGCAAGAAGTATTTATATAGTATCCTATTAATCTAAATTAAACTCAGTTAAGTCCTTCTGGGATACTTATATGGTATATTCCATCTTTAATGTGTTCATGTTTCTCCCTTTACTATTAGTCTGAAGTATGTATATGTATCAAGAGAAAATGACTTCCATGGGGCTTCATTTTAAAACTAGACATGCAAATCCTATTATTAGGTCAAATTTTGAAGTCCTTAATAAGTATTTTCTAAGTCATCACCCCATCAAGATTTCTGCGGACCCCTTTTTACTTTTAATGGTTTGATCTGTGGTTACTGTAAGTTTCACATCTAATTTTTCTACTATGTAAATGTATCTCTTAATATAAAGTTTTATTTGCAATGCAATTTAGACTGCTTAGGGGTATTTTATTTTTATTTTGTTTTGCTTGCTCTCTATGGTTCTGTGGATATAAATATACTGCTTTACTGTGCAATTTCTCCCTCTGGCTTTGTGATAACTATAATCAAGTGACTTCCTTTTTTTTTTTTTTTTCCCTGGAAAACGTCCTTGATCTGTAAAGATGAGCTGAAATAATTTGTGAATTGTAGGTAATTCTTCAGCTTGGGAATTGAACAAGGAGATCTTGAAGCATAATATCTTTACATACACTGATATGCCCCTTTTACGCATATCAGGTTCGACACATTGTCAGACCTGAGAAGGTATGGGTGAATTTAATGAAGCTATGGTTCTTTACAATGATCCCCTTCTGGTTTTCTCCTACTTTAGTATGGTTCACAACAACGAATAAGAGAAGAGAGAATGCTATTCCCTAATTTCTTAATTCCCAGCTACAGCCTCCAGTTCACTGGAGCTTTTTCCTGGTTATTGTTTGGTGAAGGGAGCAGTAAGGGATATGGATGTTGAGAGGCCCCTTCTCAGACCTTTCCAGTTTTTTCGTTTGTACTCTCCCTACCTGTCTCACAGCATTGGCTTTTGTTCTTTCATATTATAATGAAGTTGACATAGTAGATCTGTAATTAATGTGAGCCTTTCTCTCTTTCCTCCACCATCTCTCCAGTGACCCCAATAGCTGAGAAGTGGAAAGAGGTTTTGTGTGAAAAATGAGAAGTTCAGATCAATCTCTACTATGTTTACATTTCTGGCAGTATATTCAAGAACAGTTTATCAGAGAGGTACTCTCCTGACTGTTTTTTTTTTCTAAAGGTGCCAGACAAGTCTATCCTTTCTTTCACTTCCAAATGTTTTGTCACATGCCACCTTACTGCTCACTGTCTGTGCTCCTGGCGTGGTTGCAATGCAAATGCATAATGAGGAAACTCAAACTATTGACTTGAACATGCAAAGTCCCTGACAACCTCACATATTCTACATCTCCGTTTTTATTTTCCATGCATCTTTTCCTCCCTATCGTTCACTTAATATTTTCACTTTAATGCTTCCTTTGTCTCCTTTACCTCTCTGATTGCCTCTGTCATGTTTTATTCATTTGCTCTCTTGGTGTTTTTTTTCAATCTTCTTTTAAAATACACTTCTCCTTCCTGTCTTTTCCCACATAGTTACTAATTCCCATAACAGTGATCTAGTATCCCTTACACAGCAGGATTTGATGTGGTGAAAACTTGACATAGGAGCCACTAGCCTTCTCTCTACTTTACTTACTGAGCCTGTGACATGTCCTTCAATGTCACAGTGTGAGGGTGAATGACTTGCTTCTTTGATTTAGATTAGCCCATTGGCTATTCTCATTCATGTTATGGACTGAGGCAGGTAAAGAAAGACTAAAGTTTATACTGAGATTATAATGGCTTGTCAGGTGCTCAGCATCCACACAGTTTCCCTGCAGTCTCACTGAAGAATGCATATGACCCAAACAGAAATAGAATTTGGAAAACTCTTGCCACAAAATAGAAAACCCAGTCTGTGTGTTTGCCACCATGTGATGGAGGTACTTGGGGTATGTTTTATTCAATGTTTTAAAACACTGCATACATTTGTGCTTCTATTTGTGAATCCACTTTCATACCGGATTTTCATTCATTTTATTGGAACTATTATTTTGGGCCAAATTCCAGAGTTCTGAGTTGAAGTCAATGAGAGGTTAATTTGACTAGAGACCAAATGAAAATTGAGAAGGTGTTTATCTTTTGGCATGGTGATAGTACCTTGCCTGGAATTCTGACCTTGCAATGTCCAAGATATGCAGCCCTGAAATAGCATCCAAGGGGAGATTTGGTCAGTGCACAACTGAAAGCAGATGGCATATATAGCAGAAATCATCGAAAACTAAAAGCCCTGCTGAGAGCGATATATGACTTTCTGAAGGAAACCTGTCTTTGACACCTTGTATTATCATTTTAAAAAATTAAGATCTCTTTTATGAATTGGAAAAAAACCAACTCCAGATCCTGCTGGTCTCTGCTCTGCATTTGGATTACACAGCAAAGCAAGAGCTATGCTGCCAGCTTCTGTAAATAACACACCTACTTGCATGCTTACCTCATTTCATTACTGCTACCTGAAGGGGGAAGATCAGTTCCTGTCCGGTTCCCAAGCTTGGAAAAGAAAGTCCACCAAGAAAAGACAGATGATGTTTAAGAGATGGATTTGTGGATCCTTCCCTTTCTTGTAAGGGTTAGCCTGATATGCAGTCTCTCCAACAGGATACTGTCTGCCTTTTTTCCTCCACATGTAGATTTTCCCTTTCCCAGTGGTGTAAACAGTAAATATCACTCAGTCTTGACTGGTCCTAGAAACCACATACAGGAATGAGAAACCTGGCCTTGCCTTCAACAATCCTAAACACAATGACTGAATTGCTTCATTTTTTTGCCTGTTCATATGGTGCTTTAGACTTGATTTTATAATTATTCTTGCAAGTTACTTAAATGAACATATTTAAGTGATGTACAGTATGCGATGATGTTTTTTCAAGACAAATAATATTTACGAGTGCAGTTCTGTAAGCAGAAAAAATTCAAAAAGAGTATGTAAAATGTTAGTTACTCAAGTGTAAATACTAAACTTAGATAACGGCATGAAGCCAATCAACCCAAGCATTCTGTCAAAGCTCACATGACAGGCTCGCTCATCCTTGACAGCATAATTGACACTATTAATCTCACGAGAAGAGTAACTTCCACAATAACGTACAGTACATACAAGTGCAAAGAATTTATATACACCACCTTCCACCGAGATGTTTCAGTAATAATGTTTAGCCTGTGTAACAATGTTTTTCGTAATTTTATGGGCAGCCAGCAGTGATGCATACTGTGCTGCCATTCTGCAAAGCAGTGGTTATGTAGAAAAAAAGATGTCGGAAACTAATTAAAACTTTTATCATGGTGCATACATCTGAGAGGGTTGAGTTGAAGTTGAAGCCTTAACTGTGACATTTCTTACCTTTGGAAGACCTTACTTTGCAAACCTTAGTAATGCACTTTTCCCATTGGTTTAGTGAAAATTCACATTAGGAGGGATCCATTCATCAGTTGTAAAGCAAATATGCAACAGATGTCTGCATTCCATTTTGAAGTTCACTTTAAAATACTAGATGAAAGTGCCACTCCAAAGTCTTTTTTGGAAAGCTAACAATACCTTGCCCATGTTGTGGCGTATTTGTCCTCGCAGGACAGTGATAGAGCATCAGACCTGTATGAGTTATTATAGAGATGAACAGAGTCAAGTACAGCTTTGACCTCTCCTGAAGGTGTCTGTTCAATGGTAAGAAGCTTTCTGTTTTTATGTAATTGGTCATATAATTGTAAGAATAGTTGATTCTAGGGCATTTTGCATTAGTTTGTAGGGAAATTAACTTTTTTTCCCAGTCAGAATCTGTATATTCTGCATGTGATCATGACTAATGAGAATTTTGGAAAATTTTGCAGAGGGAGAAGATTTGCTTACTTTGATAGAGAGTTCATAGCATATTTTTCTATTTATGTGGAGATCCCTTGGACTATTTTAAACAGTCTGCATATTATAATATCTATTAATATTATGAGTTTTGTATAGAATATCTAAATCTTAGGTCTGTTTCTATAGTGCTGAAGTATTGCATCTCCATGTAAAATACCAATTCCTTGAACAGGTACTGATATTTTATGCTTTTGTACAAGAAAGCACAAATATGGCCACAGGAAATTCAAAATTTTATTCTCATACAAGCATAAACAAAAGTGGCAACAATGTGATTTAAGTCCAGTTTTTTTGTCTTTATACATTCTTCCCATCTAACCAGGGCATCAGAAAAAAGAAGAAACAAAGAAGCCAAACAAAATGCACAGAGAGCTGGGATCTTTCCAGGGTGTTTTGGGGTTTGTGGTTTTTTTTTTCTCTGTTATATTGCTTGACAAAGAGATAGATCGAAATGTTTTCTTTAAGAAACTACTCAGGAGAGTTAAAATACTGGCTTGGATAAAGAGAATCCCAACAATCACTGAAAAGCCCCAGCTGGTGCATAGCTGTGTAGCAGCAATGCCTGGCGTCACAGTCCTGTGAGCAGCAGGGATTTAAAGCTCGCCTCCAGCCTCACAGTCCCACCTGTCCTGGAACCAGCACTCATCTGATGCCACAGGGAGGTGGTTCAGAGAGTGACACCAGCAGAAGACTAGATTAGAAAATAAGTTACTGCCAGTTCAGCCTCCTGAACCAGCTCAGTAAAGGATCAGGCACCAGGATTGCTGCAAAGGACCAGAAAACTCTGAGCTAGGAATGAGAGGTGACTGAAGAAGCATCAACTCAGTTTGGCTAATGTTGTTGTGGTATTGCACTTGACTTGCTAAGAAAAAAACAGGGGTCGGCTTTTTGTTTTCAGCAGCAAAGGGTTTTCTGGGACTCCAGAAGCACTGAATCAGAGTTCTTTTCCTTTATGGGCAAGAACACAACGACAAGTTTGAGTATGATTGGAGGGTGGCTGGAGAGGTTATCTGTAGTTCTAATATCCTCTTCTAGCTGCAGTACAAGTGCTGGCAAACAAAACATCCTCAGTTTTGAGAAGGAACACTACTAGGACTTTCTGTGTGCAGAAACTCTGCCCATGGGGCTGTCAGCTAGCATGGGCACTCCATACAGACCTGGCTCCAGTGGTTCTGGCTTCTCCAGAAAGCTGATGGTGTCATGGGTGTCTCCTTGCCTCTCTCCTTGGACCGAAAAAGAAGTGAAGACACAGCTCTGTTAATTGCCAGAGACCTAGCAGAAGACTACAGAAGGATTCGAAAAGTTATAATCTTGGTCTTCCTAAACAGTAGATTTTACAGCATTTATAGAATTGCAAGCAAATATGGTCGGCAGCAAAACCTTCCTTCTGAGAATGTCTGTTGGAGGGCTATTATATTTCACTAACTTTCTTACATTTAAAATATTTCCATTTCTATTTTGATTTTCTCTCTCCTTTTCCCATTTCTTCTGCCCTCTCTCAAAAATAGAAACACCCAGTCTTTAATGGTGACTTAAAACAGTCAAATAAACAGTACAAAGTTAGGAAAATATAACCTTTTATCACATTAATTTTAATTATTAGCCACAGAAATATTTGTTTTCACCAAAGAACTTTGACTAATGAAAAATAAATGAAGATAATTTTAATTGCAAACAGAAATACATCAGCATTGGGTTGCTTTCAATGTTAGCTATCACTACGATTTTCATTTAATAGCACATTTGTATAGTTAAGTATTATTGCCTGTAATTCTGAGGAGCTAGTAAGTTTAGTTATTGTGTGTATAGAGATTATAGAGAGTAGAAAGATATATGTGTATTGATTTCAAGTGGGTTTTTATCCTTTTGCATGCTTACACAAGGTGCACAGCAATGGGTTGAGTTTTTTTCATCACCAAACAGCTGCATTTGCCTTCATTTGGTTGCAAAGCTGTTTACTTTTCAAATTACTTCATTAATTGAAAAACTTGTAAATATTGGTAGTGTCTCCTCCTACTGTAATTGCTACTGCATTTTTATCCATATTCCCCTTACATTTGTTGCATATAAAGCCTGTTCCACTGCTTCAGTAGAGAGGGAATAAGATATGATAGAGAGGCAATAAGATGATAAACTAGTATTACTTAGCCGCAACTAATCCTTGGATCTCAAATTCTGACAGAAATATTAATGACCTAAGACCCTGACAGTGCTGTCAGATAGGACTGCCTTACTCACATGGGGACACTCAGATCGAGAGAAATTGCACCATGACTGATTTAAACAGGCTTCATCTGACAAATCCAACCTGGATCCTATCAGTGTGACAGAACTAGAATAATACACAAGGCACTTGTTTCCTAACCATAGTCTTTAATTCATTATTCTGTAGATTGCATTTTCCACCAACCCTGAATTTGAAACTTTTTTTAAATTTTTTTTTAAAATAAGAGATGGACCTGCTGCATAAGGAACATTTTTTTATTTAGTGGAAGAAATGCATCTGAAATCCTGAATAAAGTACAGACCCCATTCTGCAAGCCCTCAATTCTTACTGGGAGCTCTGCTTGGAGGGCTTGCAGGATAGGTTCAGAGAATATGTGAGGAAGATAAGAAGGGAAAAAAGGGGAGAGAAAGAGAGAGAGATTGAAAAGGATTTTGTGGAGACAGAGATATATTAAACCAGACTGTGCTTTCTATTTTCAATAGTCTAAGGAAAGTTCATCTCTGACTTCAGAAAAAGGATTCAGAAGAAAACATGCAGCCAGGATTAGTGTTTGCTAGCACCCTTCACTATTAAATTCAGTTAATGTGCTGTTTCAAATACCATCGCAGAGAAAACTTCATGGAACAAAAGAACGTTTTGTTTCTTCCTCTCTTCCTCTCCCTTGTCTTTCCCACAAATATACACCAGCATGTTCATATAACCCAACAGATTTCACAGTGGCTAGGTGAAAAATTATGTTAACCACTAAACATTTTAGTCAACCTAATGAGTCTGTTTTTTCTTAAACATGACTAAGCTGACTAGTAACCTGTTAAAATGCAAACTTCTCCGTAAAAGCAGAAAAAGAAGCAAAACAAATAGTCTTTATAAATAAATTAAAATTCTAACTAAAAAGCTAATTATAAGGGTATTTGTTTTGTTTGAGGTAAGGCACATCTATTATCATAAAGATAATTAACTCAGTCTGACAGATCTAATAAAAGGACAAGTTTAGCATTGGCTTAGCCAGAAGCCCAAGGCAAGCAATTTTTATAATTACTAGTTATTGTAACTGGGCTCAGAGAAAATGGTCTGTGATATTTAAACAGTAATGTTAATTTGCATTTAGACCCATTTTTTTCCTCTTTCCCGGACAAGATCTATTTAGCTGGAATGAGTAAAATAAACTTGAATAACTTTAAAAAAAAAAAAAAAGAATAGCTCTTTCCTTACGGAAAAAAAAATTGGTCCTTTTATGCCTGGATAATTAATATCCTCACAAGGTAAGTGCTCTGGTAATCACAAAACAATTAAATGGTTTAATACAGTTTTAACACACAAAAAATGTTGAGTTTTCAGCCTGAAATGATGTCTGTAGACTGCATTTATTTGGGGCAACTGTATCTGTTAATGCACAGACCTGTAATGTGTGCCTCCACTGCCCATGCCCTCAACGTGCCCCTGCTGTTGAGCTGGTGAAGAAAGGGCTGGAGAGGGGGGAGGAAAGCCCTTAGCTGCTGTAAAGAAGTGGTTCCCATTCACAACAAGAAAGGGAGCAAAATAATGTTCAGGAATATATGCATAAGAAGTAAATTGCTCCTGCTGGCATGGTGTAGTAGCCCTTTAACTAATGCTTACCTTGACATTTCACAACACATTCTCTGCAAGAAAAACAAATCAACATTTTAAAAGGAGAAAGTTATTCTTTAACTGGTTCTGTAATGAAGGTTTTAGAAATAAGTAATAACTAGAGTGAGAAAATCATTGGTGATATACTACAAAAAAAGCACTTAAAGTACTTGCCATTCAAGTATGAATTTCATTATGTACTACAGGCAAATGATGTCAACACAGTGCATTTTGCTAGTGTAGGACCAGATCTGAGGAGAACTTTAAGGTCATATAAGCCTAAGCTCCCCACTTTTCAAGATGCTGTGGGGCTGATATACAGATGCTGTAAACTGCCCTTAATCCTTTGAAGACAGCTAGAGTTCTACAGCACCATGTGGGTTTCACATGAAAAAGAGAGCAAAGGGAGGGTGACATTTTTGTTCACAAGATGGTGGAAAAGACAAATCTGAGACATTCATGAATCAAAGAAACCAGACTGATGCATGTTGTAACAGAAAGACTTGTTTGCTGTCTCGCTTGCTGCTCTCTCTCAGTCCCATCCTGACAGCAAGAGGTCCAGTGCAGATGCACACCCAGACTGCAGAATTGGGGTGCACTTCCCCACCCATTAGTTCACAGACTTTTCCATGGCAGGATATTTCTGCACAATGTGGACCCCAAGAATTTGCCTTAATATTTATCCACTCCTTATTATATCAAGGATCATATTTTGTCGTCAGCCCTGCTAACTTTACTGGTTCGAGGAGTTATCCCATCTGATGGGATGGGTGGTTGACTGTTTGTACTGCACACTATCCATGTAATGGTGAGTGTGGGGGCACTGCTTGCTACCCCTTTTGCTGGCTGGTTGTCTGGGACTGAAGACATTACCCTAGTTTTTCGTGCTTCACTCTTAATGTTTGATGTGTTTTTGAACAGCTTGGCCAAGGTATTCTTTTAATGGGAGGCTAAATTTAGGATTATAAAT